GTCAACGCTCTCTGGTTTTATTTAAAAGAGACAATCGTCAGATATTGTCCAAGATTAACCTTCAGGGTGGATATAGCTCGCTCACACCGAGGACCTATCCATGTCATCATTTACCCAGAATGCTTTGTGTGTAAATAAAATGGCTCTGTCTGTGTTAAAATATATTTTTAAAAATTTACAAAACTTAACAGCCTACAGTATTTTTCAGTCTTTATTTTACAGTTAAAATATATGTTTATCAAATAAAGTCTAATGTTACAACTAATCTGGGATCCCTTTAAGTTCATTATTTTGCTTCACTTTGCACATTGAATTAAAAAACCGTGGTACAACACCGTTGTGTCTTACATTGTAAACTGTTGAATGTTTTTATGATGTGTGCTGCTGACCTTTTATTTATATATAACATATATAGCACTGACCTGACATGCGTCCACTTTCCCCTGCAGGAATCCAGCACACATCATGTTCTGAGTAATAGCACCTTTGTACACAGACGACTGATTGCACACCTTGGAGTCGATGATGTTCACCACTGCTTTCTGCAGCGTGGTGGGCAGCTTGACTGAACAGAGAGACACAAAACACACAATCTGTTTCTCTCTGGTTCTACTTTATGTTGAAGTTCAGCAAAACAGTTTGATCTTGACAGTATGCTCATCTAAAAAAAAAAAGTCAAATATGTCGAACAACAAGTCATTTTTCTGTTCTGTTCTACGCATCTGTTGGGTGCCGGAGTGCTTTCACGTGTGCAAAACTCACAGCTGAACTGCTGCAGCGCGCCCCATCCAGACACAATGCAGTTCTGACCTGGCTCAAAGACATGAGACGAAGAGGGAATGCAGATAGGCTGGACGTAGGAGCTGAAGGTCAGAGGGGTCTCTAGCTCCAGGACGGTAACATCATGATTTGTGGCCACGGGGTCATAGTCTGGATTCACAAATATGGACTTGATGTTGAAGGCTTTGAATTCGGAGTCTGCACCACTTACAAGTTTGGCCCCAACCACGGCGGTCCACTCGCTGGGATCAGTGGCGCTGAAACAAAACAGACTGTGTGTTGCTGATAAACTCTTGAGTAAGAAAATACCACCCACCCCCACTCAAATATCCCACTTACCCTTCAAAGCAGTGAGCCGCACTGACGAGCCAGTTCTTGTTGACGATGGAGGCTCCACAGGTGTGCCGCCAGTGGTACCTCAGACTGACCTGCCAAGGCAGCTCCCCCTGCCGAGCATCCTCTCCCCCCACCACTCGACTACCCATGGCTGGACGTGTGCCACAGTCTGAGGTGTGTGTGTGTGTGTGTGTG